CACACACACAGACACACACAGACACACACACACACACACACACACACACACACACAGAACATGTAATTCTCAGCAAAATAGAAAGAACATAACCAGGGTGGTCTCCATGGATACTGCCTTGTTGTAACCAGAGGAAAAGCTGCCAGCAAAGTGAGACCCACCCTGTGAGATTGCTACAAATGCAACGTTAGTTTACAAACCACCAGCATCATACTATTGGGTGCCTGTATAGTATTTAATGTTCAAAATCACATCCGCTCAACCATTAACCATTTGCTGCCTGTGGGATCTTGCTATGCTGAATTGTCTGCTATATATTACAACAGCCATGGCACTCTGAGAAGCCTTCATTGGCCATGAATCTCTTGCGACGTCCTGGAGATGCGAAAGAGGCTACAGAAACATAGGTTCTCTCTACGTGATTTTGCAGTATCGTGAACTTGAACAAAAAGAGATACTTGCATTCATTTTGCGGCCCTTCTCAATCTCAGCTTTTAAAGTGTGCAGTGTGATCACTGTTGTAACGAAGGCAACAGGCTGTCAGGATCCCATTAGCTTGTGCACAGCAAGCTCCCACAAGGCAGCAATGTGATCATGTCCAGATTGTTGTTTGAATAATGTTGGTTGTGGCCTAATCATTGACCAGGCACCCACCAAGGATAATTCCCCTGCTCTTCTTCAAAGGAATTCTGTGGGATCTTGCACACCCAACCAAGGGAGGCAGTTGGAGCCATGGTACCAGAATCAAAACAAGAACCCTGTACACATACTTCTGCAAAGTTTGGAAAATGTTGCCAGGGTTAAGAGATAAACTTCTGCTGCCTTATCAACATCAACAATGTGAATTTATATGATACCAGTAAAGAGTAACACATCCGAGAGTGTTATCAAAAAACGTGAAGCTGAAACCACACAGAGAGATATTAGGACAGATGATCAATAGTGTGGTCAAACAGGGGTCATAAGAGGGAGGAGTCTCGGGAGGGAATTCCAGGAACCAAAGCACTTGAACACGGCTGGCAATGGAGGGACGATAGGGATAGGAGATGTACCAGGGGCCAGATTTGGAGGATTGGTGAGATCTCAGAGGATTACAAACCTGTAGGAATTTACAGAGGTAGATCAGAATATAAGAATAAGGAGCAGGAGTAGGCCATTCAGCCCATCGAGCCTTTGTATTGAGCATGGCTTTGTCCAACTCCAGCTAATCCTGTATCACTGTCAGGCCAATGATGAGCTGCCATCCCCACTTTATTGCCTGATGTTAATGTGCTGTCGTTGTGGCTGGTCTTATCTCAGCCTCAACTCCTCTTTCCTGCTTACTGTCCATCACCCTTCAACCCATTGCTAATTAAAAATCTGTCTATCTCCTTCCTAAATTTACTCAATGTCCCAGCATCCTCCGCAATCTGGGGTAGTGATTCACCACTCTTTGAGAGAAACCATTCCTCCTCAGCTCTGTTTAAAATCTGCTATCCTTTAGGATTAGGGAGGGCTGAGGTCTTGGGGGAATTCAAACAGCTCACATGTTGGGTAATCCACAACAGAGGAAATCCTCAAAAACCTGTGGGGACATCAACTGAGATTCCCAATTGTGCACCCATTCCCTGAGACTCTTCAGGAAGAGAAAGGAGTTGAAAGGCCATTATTGGAAGCCAGTCAAACACTAAATCTTCAAACAATCCAAATTGATTGAATTGAGCCAACACCAGTCGCTGAGGTTAAGATTGCTTCATGCAAAGGACATGGGGACTAGAGGCACATGTTAATCAGTATGTATTGATGTATATGCCAACACAGACTCCCATTCAAAGGCTTTCTGCTCCTATGATGCTGCTTAGCCTGCTGTGTTCATCCAGCTCTGCACCTTGTTGTCTCATATCCCACTGGGGCAGATTTGGAATTTGAATTGAGCTCAATGTAAACATCTGCCCAATATACTTGCATTCAATATACACCCACCAATACACACCTACTCAATACAACCTTCTCAATATGCATCTGCTAAATACACACCTGCTCAATATGCTTCCACCCAGTATATGCCCACCAGTATCTACTCATCCTGCCCAACTTCAACCAGCAATATAACATGCTAATATATACGCATTCAATAAGCACTCACCAATATATACCCACCCAATATATCTGTGCTTAATATGCACCAGTCCACATACAGCAGTTCAATATACACCTATCCAATATGCACCCAGCCAAAATACACCCAGCCAATTAATACCGGCCAATATATACCAATCAATGTAGATCTGCCAACATGCACTATTCTGATATATATCCACCAATACAGAGTTGCCAATATACACTTGCTTAACTTATATCCACCAAAACTTCTGCCAATATACACACAGCAATACACCCACTCAAAAAATCCATGCAATGTACATCTACAAATATACACATCCGACAATAATTCACCCAATATGCACCCATCCAATATACACATGTTGAATGCTGCCAGTATAATTCTGGTCATATACATCTACACAATACATACTTGACCACTGTACTTCCACCATGTCCATGTCCAAAATACACCCACCCAATGTGTAATGTATCAATACACACCTTCGTAAAAGGGAATACATTTGGGATATTTGTTTAAACCAAACAGTTATAAACAATTTTGGTTCCTGTTTAATGTTAAGTTGTCACATGCTCTGTACTCAGTTCTCTGGAGTGTGGCCAAATTCACAGTTAAGATGGGTATGTAAATGTATTGTGAGGAAGACGTAAACATGTTGCAGACAGATATAGATACGACGAGTGAGCGGGCAAGAATCTGGCTAGAGGTGTATAATGAATATATGAGATTGTTCACTTTGGCAGGAAGATTTAATTAAAAACATGTATTATTTAAATGAAGAATGACTGAGATTTCTGGGATGCAGAGGGATCTATGTGTTCTGGTGCATGTGTCACAAAAAAGTTAGTAAAAGGGTACAGCACATAATCAGGAAGGCAAACAGGATAAAAACCAAAAAAACTGTGGATGCTGTAAATCAGAAACAAAAACAGAAGTTGCTGAAAAAGCTCAGCATGTCTGGCAGCATCTGTGAAGAGAAAATCAGAGTTAATGTTTCAGGTTCCTCAGAACAATGGTTGTTTCTTGCAGATTGTTGGGAGGGTTAGAGTAGGATTCACCAGGACTCAGTCTGGGACCACTGTGCATTTTGATATCTATTAATCTTGGACCGGAGCATGATTCTGAAGTTTGCAAATAGTTTGAAGTTTGAAAACGGGTATGTATTAATTTAAATTGTTCCCACTATGCAATGCAAGGAACATACAAAAAGATTCAGAAGCAGAAGAAGGCCATTCAGCTGTTTGAGCCAGCTCCATCATTCATCAAGATCATGGTTGATCTGGGTGTGGTCCCAAACTCCAGTTACCTGACTGCATCCCATAATCCTCAGCTCGCTTGTCCGCCTGCTTTCTGGAGAGGAGAATTACACAGTCTAACCAATCACTGAGAGAATTTTTCCTCATTGCCTTGTTAAAAGAAAGACCTCTCAGGCTAAATTGTCTCTATTTATTCTAATATCTGCCCTCTCATACCCGCTTCTAGCCAGCCACCTTTTTCCCCAAGGACCTTACACATCTCAATAAGATTACCTTCTACCATGATGGGGTTTGAACCTGTATCCCCAAAGCATAACTCTGAGAATTAGGCAGCATGGTTGCACAGTGGTTAGCACTGCTACCTCACAGCACCAGGGATCTGGGTTTGATTCCAGCCTTGCGTGACTGCGTGGAGCTCGCACATTCTCCCCGTGTCTGTGTGGGTTTTCTCCCACGGCCTAAAGGTATGCAGGTTAGGGTGGATTGGCCATGGGAGATGCAGGGTTAGAGAGATAGGGTGGGGGGTTGGATGTGGGTGGGATGCTGTTTAGAGGGTTGGTGTGGACTTGATGGGCCAAATGGCCTGATTCCACACTGTAAGGAACTCTATGACAAAAGGTTTAGAACTCTCTTCCACAAACAGCAGTGGATTCTGAATCAGTTGTTAATTTTCAATCTGAGATAGGTAAGTATTTATTAAACTAATGTATTAAGGGATATGGGCCAAAGGCAGGTCTATGGAGGTAGGCCACAGATCAGCCATGATTTCACTGAGTGGTAGAACAGGCGTGAGGGGCTGAATGGCTTACTCCAGTCCCCATGTTCCTATTAGTCTGGTGTCGCAGGATTACCAGTCTAGAGACAACCTCCCTTTGCAGGCTCCTCTTCACAACTTACTCTCCTACCCATGTGCTGTTTAGCAACTTAGCTCCACTCAGTCCCTTCATCTGATTGGAAATCATTGAAGCCACGGCACAGATTCCTATGGCACTCCACTGGTTACAACGTGCCACCCTGAGAGTGACCCATTTATCCGTTCTCCCTGCTTCCTGTTAGTCAGCCAATCCTTTGACTGAGCTAACATGTTTCTCTCTACACCTGAAAGCAGATTGTTTTGCTGCGAGAGGAGGACAGAATGTGGATTCCCACAGATCATTTCACGGCAGTCACCACGGAGAGAGTTACCATAGTTACAACCAGCATTCTCCGCTGGGGACAGCCAATGAGTAAGACTCTGGGAAATGTCATTGTGGCAGAGCAACTGTCTCATCTCAGCCTGAGAGCACGGTCACACAATGCAGAGTAACCAAGGTGACACCAGCGAAATAATGTCGCTCATCGGTGAGCAGCTACACAGAATGTCCTCATATCATCATGCACACAATTCAATACAAAACCCTGGGCTTTACCTCCACGAGAGTAAAAATAAGAAATTGCAAATGTTAGAATTCTGGAGCATTCCTTTCATCTCCTCAGGACATTAAAAAGCATTTCACAGCCAAAGGAGAACCTTAGTTACAGAGTTGTCACTGTTCCAGTGTAGGAAATACAGCTGCCATTCTACACACAGCAAGCTCCAACAAACACCAATGTGAAAATGACCAAGTAGTTATATTTTTAAGAATGTTAAACGACAAATGAGGAATGTGCACTGTACATGAGACAGCGTTATCACTGAGTCATGACTGACATTAATCCTGGGATGGTAGGGCCAGACACTGCATTTAACTTGGACTGCACCACTATCTGAGTGAGAGTCAGTGTGTGTGGGACTGTACCCCAGTGAGAGTCAGTGT